AAGATGATGATAAGCCGAGCATAGGATGATGAGACCCGAGCAGAGACGCACCTCATGAGATATGAGCAGTTATGGAGAGTGACATGCGAGAATCCGGAGAGGATCAGGTTTGGAAAATTGAAGCATTGCTTCAACCAAGGGCAGCGAATTGAAGAAAAGGTTTAAAAGGCGGTAAGCTGCTTATTTTGGGGGACTTGATTCGGGAATTGGGGTTTTTATAGAAATTTCTTTTGAGTGGAAGTAGGGAAAAAAGTTAGGAGTTGATCTGGGCCTGACTAGGAGCCTAACAGGGAGAGAGAAAATTAGTAGTTTTTCTGAACAGATAAGAGCTTGGGGCATGTTACCTTTAGAATTAAATTGCAGCTTTCTTGATTGATTGTGGACTATGTATGGAAAATTTGAAAAGTTAATCTCATCTGTAAATCATTGATAGCATTGACTGCTACAGATAAAAATTTGGTGCCTGTAGAGTTTATACATGGATTGGGGGCGACGGTAGCATGAAATCTCACTATTGAACTTTTTTATTTTGCTGATAGCTGTGAAGTTGTTGTCATCATGCTATGAACATATCTTGGGCATTTTCCAGTATATGAACATATATGATCCATACTGCTTGGTGAAAATGATTTCTTTTGGCATCATTAATGTAATTTTTCATAGTCTTGTAAGCCATTTTTCATAAATTTGAAAGTTATGTTTCTCTTTAATATCATTGAGAAGATTTCATGAACTTGCACGGATTCAAATAAAAAATCACTTCAAAAAGTGACTCACAAATTGTTTGTTACTATCTTTTGAGTTTTAAGCATTATGACCTCATTCGATATATGTTATGTTCCTCCAAGCACAAGAAGACTGGTGTACCTTGTTTCATTTCTATTTATTACCGTCCTAGCCTGTTCTGCTCGTTTTTATTGAATCTTCTATTTGCTATTCCGCCGCATTCATTCTACTTTGCAAGTTTCTGGACTGCTGGCCAGAGGATAACCAGAGAATATTAGATCCATCTGTGCAGATGCCTTGTGAATGATATGTAAAGACGGGTTTTGCTTCAACTGGCAGGAAGTAAGGTGATACATACTGCTTGGTGAAAATAATTTATTTTGGCATCAATGAAGTAAATTTTCATGGTCTTGTAAGCCGTTTTTCATAAATATGAAAATTATGTGTTTTTAATTTCCTTTGGCATCATTCAAGTAATTTTTCATGGTCTTCTAAACAGAAGAAGAGCTGATGCAATTTGAGCAGGGAGTACGGCTGGTGTACCTTGTTTTGTTTTTATTTATTACCATCCTAACCTGTTCTGCTCGTTTTTCTTGAATTTTCTATTTACTATTGTGCTGCATTAATGCTACTTAGCAGGTTTCTAGATCATTAGATCCATCTGTGCAGGTGCCTCCTGAATGATGTGTAATGACAGGTTTTGTTTCGACAGGCAGGAAGTAGGGTGTTTTCTTCCTTCTCTGCTCCTGCAGGTTGTCTTGGGAGGTTACATCTTTCTTTGGGGTTTTTTGTTATGGTCTTTATTTCTCTGTTCGTACTTGGGTTTGGAAGAGGTGCCTGGTGTTATATTTTAGCCTCCCCCGAATTAAGAAATGTGATGAGTTCTACGTGGGTGTTGTGATGTCTGTTTGTGGGTGGTTTTGGTCAAGGTGTGTCCTATTTGAGCTTGTCTTTGTGCAAGTGAGTCGAGATGAGGTTGTCACCTATTGTCCATCGATGTTATGCTCTTTCTTGACGGACCTTTTTTTTTCTTCCTATGACTGTCTATCCTTTTTGGAAGTTTCATATTTGGCCTCATCATTGAGGTTGGGAAGGATTTAATGTCTGCTGCCGCCTCCGATCATCCTGCTTTACGCCCTTGATCCTTAGGCCCTAGCTCCTCGTTCACAGTTTCCTTGCAGACGTTGTAGTTTCAATGCCAGTCATCCAAAAGCTTCATAAGAATGGGTTAAAGTTGACAGTTAATAGCTTTAACGACTACCTTTTATGGCCGAACTCCTATTCGATATCAACTCTAGCTGCATCTGCTAGACATATATGTTGTAACACCCCGCTTATTACCATGCTAAAATGTATTTGGAAAACCTTATTTACTCAAGTTTTAAGGTCACATTGAACTCATTTAATTTTATTTCGCAATTTTATATCGTAATTCATAAAATTATGCCGATTTTGTTGTTTTATTTTATTTTTTATTTTATATAATTTTATCTAATTTTGTTTTAATTTATTATTTTATTATTATTATTTTTAAAATAAACAATTTTCAAGAGAAAACGGAAAAAAGGGAAAAAATCCTGCGAGATGTGCGCACAGTGTGCATGTCTCATCTGTGCGAGGTGCGGGGCTAGATTTGTGCGCGCGTCGTCCACGCAGTAGGCCTGTGCAGTTGGGGCCTGTGCCCCATAGGCCCTGCGTGGGGCAGGGTAGCCTGGTGCCTATAGGCTAAGCTTGCAGTGAGTGCTAAGTGCCACCGCTTGGGGTGTGCTGCAGCCGTGGAGGAAAATTCTCCTTTTTTTTGTGCCACGTCAAATCAAGCAACTTTTTCATTTTCAACACTTTCTTTCACCGGATTTTGCTACTTAGCGCAAATCTAACTGTTACATCCCAAATACTAATTAAGACATGTGAATGTCAGATACACAAACAGAATTACTAGTGTATGATGAAAATTATATGCATTGGAGTAAGTTAATATAAATCTTTTACAAATATATGAGTTCCAATTACATATATATAACTGAGGTTAGAAGTAGCTACAAAATATAATGTTAAAATACAAAGAGGATCACTTCTTTCACTATATTATTTGAGTCATCAGAGTGCGAGAACGATCGTGCACTCAAGTTTTGCGGATCCCCAAGATCCTCATAAACTTAAATGGGATCCTCATAAACTTCAATGGGTAGGTCAGCTAGCGATTCCTCATTATCTTCCTCATTGGGGGGCATGGAAAGAGTGAGTTACATATGCTCAGTAAGGAAAACAGTATTTAAATAACATTGTAAAGTTCTAAAAGGTGAATTATTTAAACATAAACATAAACATAAACATTTACTATTTAGTTACGCCATAAACCTATCTTGCCTCATGAAAATAATTTATTTATTTAATAAAAACATCACGTTATAATCAACAATCAAAATAAACACACAACATACTAAATAATAGAGAAAATCAAATAAATAATGAAATGCTCAGATTTTCGTGTCATATTTTGCGAAGTCGTTACAACTTTTATCTCTGAAGGTAGATATAGAATTTTGACTACCCATGTGAAATGACCAGATCATATACAGGTAACGACAATTTGTTCAGGTATATTTCCAGCTTGCTAAACCATGACATAATCTATGACCATGGCCTTATCAACTATAGTGGTCATATCAGATATTTTATGGTCACGACAGTACTTAGTCAAAGGTGACCCCTAACAGATATTTGCATCACCACTGTCGTTAGAGGGTATGCCGCCATCACAGGAAACGATTCTCTTACGTCTTTGTAGATCAGATGGGAGAGGAAAAAACATACCTTGGATGGAGATAGGGGAACAGATATCCATCAGAGATAAAAAGTCTGACGAGACACTTGATGCGTTATGCATGTCAATACAGATACATACTTCGGGTCATTTATGCTTCATTCCACTTTTTTTTTTATTTTTTTTTATTTTTCAGATAAATTTATCGGTTTTATATTATTTTAATTACATACAAATTATCAAATGCCTATCACTCACATAACATGTTTGAAATGATGAACAATTCAACTTATTAAGTATACAAACACAAAGCATGCAAAACAGGTAAAATTACAGAATTATCAATTTAATCTTTTCTTTTTTGTTTAAAAATACCCCTCAAGACGTTTAAAAAAATACTAAATTCTTTATTGAAATCTTGATAATTTCATATACACTGTTTTTCTTATCTTCATCTCCTTCTCTCTCTAAATTACTTTCTCTATCTCTCTCTAACTCTTGAACGGTGGAAGAATAGAAGTGTGGTGTAACGGCTCCGGAAATTAAAAGGAAATATATATATATATTTATTCTAAGTGTGGAAGCGAAATAAAACAGATTATGATTAACATCCCTTACACAATAACCAAAACGAATTAAACTATGAAAGAATAAACTAACTTAAAGGAAATACTATGAAAGAATACTGTAATGAAAACTAAATAATTCTTTTGCTTCTACTCGCCGTCTTCCTGTAGAACGGGCTCGGGAACCAAATTTTCCTGATCTGAAATGGTTAAGTAAGGAATGAGCTACACTAGCCCAGTAAAGACATCACACTATCTCACTGTCACAGAAGTAAAGGTTGGTAGAAAACGAAAACGACCAATAGAGCATAATTTATAACAAACTTATTTACCAATAATAAAATTCTTTACTGTCCACCTACCTCGGTGAGATTCATGAAAACAATTACATCATAAATATCATAAGATCACGCACACTCTGCAACATAACATATATCATGCTTTTGTATTTCAATTATCAGGCAACAATTTTCTTCTTTATCAGCCTACTAGTATCCATGAGGATCCATAGGGAGTCTCCGCTACACGTGAACCGTTCATATTAATAACTTAATTCCAGGGCCGTCCCCATACCACGTCCAGTATGGGCGCCAAAATCATAAACCTCAATACCCCATTCGGTATGAGAGTGAAACGGGTCGTCCCCATACCCTATCCGGTATGGGCGCCAAAACACATAAAGTCTCCATACCCTGTCCGGTATGAGAGACCACGTTCTCAGTAGGGTTCCCTATGGACCCGGTCCGTCCACTATCTCCTAGGATATCTAGTGAGGCTATAGACATTATCCATTATCAATTCACATACATTTTTACCATTTTTCTTAATCTCAATTATCCATTCAAAAACAAACATGTAAACCAGTAATGAACACCAAATAAGGCAACATAACATCGGGTTCACAATAATTCAAAGCATAATAAATGAAACCGTGATTCATGCATACGAAACCATAGAATAAACACATCAGGCACCATACTGCATTCAAAACTGTAAAATAAATCAAACAACACTTGACCAAAAATATATCAGATTCGGGCTCCATTAGCAACCTTAATCAATTATACATATCTATTAATTCATAAAATATCGTTTTATCATTTATTAGGCTTTAATGCCATGATAGGAAATAGGGTGAGAGATCCTTACTTCGGAGTCTGAAATCGGTTTCTCACTGCACCTACGGGCAGTCCCTAAATTCCCTGAATTTTTCTCCGAAAACTGAAATACACTTCCGGTACCTGCACGTCTCCAAAAAACTCCAAATCAGACCCAAGGCCCTTTCGGCAAATTTCAGAATTTCGGCACGGTGGCGAAGCTCTCGGGTACGGCAGCTCCTCCGGTGCGAGTTACGATTCGGTATTTTACTTCGGTCAACCTGTAGAGGAAAGGACGGTGGTCACAGTGGTATAAAAATTACATCGAACGGAAAATGAGAAGGGCTTCATCGGAGACAAAAACTGAGAAAACCCGCGGCGGCGCCACTGGACTTCGGCAGTGTTTTTTGGCCAATCAACTGGTGGTTTGGCTCTGATTTCGCTACAGGGAGGTTCGACATCGAAAAACGAGCAAATGAGAGAAATTTTACCTCGTTTGGCGGCCGAAAAGTCCTCCGATGTGGCAGCGGGTGGCGGCGGCCGGTTCCTCCGATGGCTGGGTCGTCTTCTCTGGCGAGGGTTCTGGCGGCTAGGGTTTGGGGTTGGGTGTGGATGCGATTATTTACAACCCTCCCCTTTTAATCTGAGTCGTCCACCATGATTTAATCTGGGCCGTCCGATCGCAATTAAATTGGGAATAAATCTAGGCCATCCGCACGCGTGAGATCTGGGCAGTCCACGCGCGCCTTTGATCTGGGCCGTCCGTGCGCACGGGAACGGATCTGGACCGTTTGATCGTGCACACGCGGATCGCCAACATGTCTCCGTCCCGCGTCAGTGTCCCTGCCATGCGGCGCGTTCTGCTTGGCTTGGGCTGTTGACCGGGCTGATGCCGTGGCTGCTGATGTGGCGCTATTTTTCTAAATTGTATTTTGACCCCCGATTTTTGATTTTCTTTTCAAAAACACCAACAGAATCTAAATTTTCACCCATTTTCTCCAAAATCAATTTCAATTAAATCCCAAAAATAATTTTACCATATTTTATTATTATTATTATTTTTATTTCTATTAAATTAAATTAAATTAAATTAAATTAAAACCTTATAAATTAAATATTTAAATAGAATAAAATTAAACAAAAATTCCAATAAAATTAAAATAAATTAAAAAAATAAAAATAAAATAAAATACAAATTTTTTGGGTGTTATAACTCTCCCCCCCTTAAATAAATTTGGTCCCCCAAATTTGCCTCTTACTCTTGGTCGAACAACTGTGGATACTGAGCTCTAAAATTTGATTCTAGCTCCCAGGTAGCCTTCCTTAGCGAGTGGTTCTGCCACACTACCTTTACAAATGATAATTTCTAGTTGCGGAGTATTCTGCTCTTTCAGTTCGTGATACCAACTGGGACTTCCTCATAAGATAAGTCATCTTGGAGTGGGAGCGATTCATGAGCCAAGACATGAGAGGGGTCTGGGTTGTACTTACGTAGCATGGATACGTGAAACACATTGTGGACCTTGGAGAGCTCTGGAGGCAGTGCTAGTCTGTAAGTGGCAGTACCAATCCTATCTAAGACTTCATATGGTCCAATAAATCGGGGGTTCAGTTTTTCCTTCCTACCGAATCTACTAATTCTTTTGAAATGAGTGACCTTAAGGAACACCCGGTCATCTTGTTCAAACGCTATATCTCTCCTCCGGGTGTCTGCATAACTCTTCTGCCTGCTCTGAGCCGTCTGAATGTTCTTTCTGATTTTACTATTTTAGACGTGGTCTCCTCCACCAACTCTGGGCCGAACAATTTTCTGTCGCCCACTTCTTCCCAACAAATCGGTGATCTGCATGGGCACCCATATAACGCCTCATACGGAGCCATGCCAATGCTCGCTTGGTAACTGTTGTTGTAGGTAGATTCTATCAGGGGTAGATGGTCGTCCCAATTGCCCCCAAAGTCAAGAACACAAGCTCG